TTGTTTTCTGCTGCTCCAGAGAATAGGATCTGGAACAGTGGATGCAAGATACAGGAAAGGAGATTCCACATATGTTCCGGAGGAGATCCTGGGAGCAGCTGTTAATCACTTTGCCATTGTAGGGAGGGCTGCACATCTACAACAGGGCTGGCTAGACCAGAATCCCATTCCTTCCTAGCTGACGTCTTATTTTATTGTTTACTGCAGGGACCTGTAACAATCCAATACCTGCAAGCCTGTGTTTCTCCAGCCCCACCATGTTGATGCTGCTAAAAATCTTCCAGCTAGATAGCGGACAAGAAGGCAAGGCTGAACAGGCATAAAAACACTTTGTAAAAAGGAGCTTCTTTTTCAGAGGCTTTGGGCCTTTGCAGACTGCCAGAAATAGTGCAAATTGAGTCCACTTTAACTGCCCTGACTCAGTGCTAGGGAATCATGGGAACTGTAGTTTATTGTGGCACCAGAGCTCTTTGACAGAGAAGGCTCAATGTCTCAGAAAAACATACAATTCCCATGATTCCCTAGCACTGAGCCAGGGCAGTTAAAGTGGACTCAATTTGCACTATTTCTTGCAGTCTGCAAAGGCTCTTTGTTAACCAAGATATGCCTGCATATGCCAACCTTCCTTCCCTTTCCTCCTCCTCCTCCTCCTTCCCTGCCAGCTCTGCCTGTGATTCTGCCCTCCTTGCCCATTTCCCCAGCAGCTGACAGCCTCCAATGCCAGGAAAGGAGAAAAAAGGGAGGCTGAGCCATCTCAATCCTTCCCTTGCCTCGGCTTGCCTTGCCTTTCCAGCCTCCTCCTCCTCCTCTGCTCTCTTGAGAGGTCCTAACCCCAACGGAAGGGGGCTAGGACCTGTGTAGGAGGACATGACCCCAAATGTAGGACAGTCTGACATTTCCTCCTGGGAAATGCAGGACTCGCCTTGGAAAAGGAGGAGTCTTGTCACGAAACACAACCATTTCCAGTACATTTACGGGTTCTTTTCACTTGTGTATGAAAGTTAAAAACGTATTTTTTTCGCTTTTACCTTATTTCCGTTATTACTGTAATTATGTGTGAAAAGCTTTTGCGCCATTAAGCTCTTTTTTCGCTTTCTTTTCGGGATGCTTCATTTCCACTTTATTATCTCTTTAACAACGAAACTGGCCCACATGTGATAACGTCCTTTGATTCTATGACTTTTATCATCCTAATTGGATTTCTAGGGGAAAAAATAAATTTTTAGCAGGGGCAAATAAAATCCATTCGATTGACTAAAAAGACAATTCCATAGCCCAGAGTAAGTAGTGTCTCAGCTTTCAATGACATGGCAGTCTGACAGGACAATCTATCCCAGAACATCCCTTACCTGTAAACATTTACCTGGATTGAATGGGTTACACAGCCACTGTAGAAAAATATGAGCAAGGGACCCGATTTCTTGGAATATTAGCAGAGTTGAGATATATCTGAAAGGGGTCATCCAACTTCTCATTATATCGGAGAGAAATATTCCAAAGACAGTTAAGAAAGTCCAGGTATTATGTTGTTGTTGTTGTTATATTTATTTGTATCCCACTTTTTCCCAAAAATTGGGACTTACAGCTCTGCATCTTTCATGCCCACAAAATTACTGCTATATATGCTAATCATGAAGTAAACGACGACAGTAAGGGGGGCAAACAGCAACTTCATCCAATCTCCAAGAAACATATACATCAATATAAATAGCCTGCATATATGTGTGTGTGTGTGTGTATGTATAAAATCAAGACAGGATAGAGAGAGACAGCTAAATTGTTCAACTCCTGCTTTACTTCTTTCTCTCAAAAGGGAAAAGGTGGTCAACCTGTTGAAAACAGAATCAACGATTCATCCTCAAGTCCAGATGAACTGCATCAAAAGTAATAAAGGATCATCACAATGAAATCTCAGAGATTATGTCTGCGGTTTTTGAGAATCCAGGAGAACAGACTAGCAGTAGGAAAATGTTTCCCAACCTTCCAGAGAGAAGTCAGGGAGCAGACCTGGGCAACTACAGACCTGCCAGTTTGACACTGGTATTAGGTAAGGCACTAGAGTGGACTAGTCAAACACCAGTCTGTGAGTACTTGGAAAACATAGCTCCAAAACACAATGCAGAAATCATCCAGTTTGAGACTGCTTTAACTGCCCTGGCTCAATGCTAGGGAATTCTGGGAACTGTAATTTTGTGAGACATTAAAGCCTTCTCTGTCAGAGAGCTCTGGTGCCACAATAAACTACAATTCCCAGGATTCCCTAGCACTGACCCTAGGCAGTTAAAGCAGTCTCAAACTGGATTATTTCTGCAATGCGTTTTGGACCACAGCTAACATAAGATTTCTCAAGGAAAAGTCATGCCAGATAAATGCCTCTATCTCTCTCCCCTCTTTGGCAGAACTACAAGCTTAATGGATCTGAGGAATGTTATGGATGTAGAATATCTTAATTTCAGTAAGGCTGTTAACTAGTTTTCCATCAATATTCTTGCAGACAAACAAGTGCAATCTAGGCTAGACATTGTTATTTTTTACATGGCTTTGCAGCTGGTTGTCAAAGAATGTTCCCCAATTAAATGGTCTCCCATCATCTAGAAAAAGGATATGTAGAGTACTAAAGATTCTCTCCTAGATACAGTGTTGTTCAATATCTTTATAAATGACTTCAGTGAAGGAACAGAGGGGGCATGCTTATCAGATCTGTAGATAACACCAGACTGAGAGGAATATCTAATACCCCAGAAGAAATTCAAGACGTCCGTAACAGACTACTGGGCTGAAATTCATTAACAAAATGAATTTCAGCAAGGATTAACTGTATTACACTTGGGCAGGAAAAGTCAGATACACAAACATAATCTTGGTGGTACCTGGCTTGGGAGCGGAGATTATCAAAACCCATGGACAAAAGCCAAGAGAGATCTGGTGGAGCAAAAAGCAAAGTTAGACATTTGTTCCTCTTCTACCCTCATGCAGAACTCCACTCTCCTGCCAGTCCATCCCCAATGCCATTTAGTGGCTGGGCTAAGAACCAAAAAGGATGTTCTTCACCAGGCCTTCAGCTGTAGGACCATATATAGTGCCTGGCCATGCCCACCCTTTTAAAAAAAAAATTTAAATTTAAATCATTTCAATTTTTTAAAAATGGGTAAAAAACTATCTTCAAAATAACAAAGAAAAGAAACTTTGGACTAAGATACATAGTATAATGCAAAGATAATAACATTTAAAATTCAATTAAAACCTCAACTGTTTCTGCTCAGATTGAAGAAAAAGGAGAAAAGGAACAAGGAAGAATTATTCAGTACATGATAACAGAAGCTAAATTCATCTATGCACAAAGATGGAAAGAAGAGACAGCTCCGACAAAAGATTATGGTTATA